TTCACGTTTTGATTGACGAGTTCGATAAAGAGTTGAAGAATTTCGCAAGTTTCCTTAAGCCTTTACCATATCTTTAACCTTACCCAAAGTGGTTTTAATAGTCATTCATTTCGTGTCTTTAAACCCAAAATCATTCATTTCGTGTCTTTAAAATCATTCATTTCTTGTCCAATTTATAAAAGAGTCCAAACTTGATAGTTTTGGTCCATGTTATCAATCCAATTATTGTTTATTTGGATTGGGCTTGAAAAGAGTTTTTTAACGATATATCATAAGCCCAAATCCGACTTAAATCGAATAAGTTATGGCCAAAATACTAAACCGAGCCTAAATCGAGCCTAGGTCCACCTTTAGTACGGCCCAATGATTATACGGAGTCTAAATAATTTATTTAGGCCCTATATGATCATATTCCTAATCTTAAATTAGTTAGGATCCTCTAGAATTTTCTAGAAGGTTCTAATCTATCCTTTCCGAAAAGATAAAGCTCAAAGAAGTTCGAGATTGAATAAAACTTCTCATATGATAATCCTTGTTCCATCCAAAGTCAAAGACGTTCGGATATCTTTTGCAAACATAATTTCATTAGAAATAAAATTCCTTCTAAACTTTGCGATAAAAGTTGTTCTAATTTATTTAGAACTTCTGATCTTTTTCTGATCATCTGACCCTCTTTTTCCCTTATAAATAGAGGTCGTTTTCCCAATTTTCAAAGCAGCTGGAATCACCCGAAATTAGCTACAACCATCAAGAATCCCTATCAACAATCAACAATTACCATCATTAACTATTATCAACAATCATCATCAATACTCAAATTTCTAATTCCCATTTTCTTAGCCTAACACATTCAATATTCATCCTAATCATTCACCATACTTCCTTTGGGCGATTCGAATACTCCAAACCATACTCGACGTTGTCTTCGACTTCGGCGTAAAAGGTTGATATTTCTAAGGGTTTGGTCCCAAATCTATATTTAAATTCCTAATTAATTTAGTTTATTGTTTACTTTATAGATTTCACTTTCTTGAAGTTTACTAACGTGTGTATTGTTTTACTAGGAAGAAGGTCGAGTTATCATAGTAAGTAATTTAACTACTTAATTATTCTTTTGATTTTGAATAAAAATCATGCTTTGGATAACTCTTTGATTTTTATTATTAGTATAATGTTTAGGATAACGCTTTGATTTTAATCCGATTTAGGTTTAACATGATTTTAATTCATGTGATCACCAATATTTGATTTGATTGTGCATGAATAATCAACCAACATAGATTAAACAGGTTTAGGTTTAATTTGATGTATGTATGTTGATCGAATATCGCACATGAATATCAATAAGAATCAAGTAGAGGCATATCTAGGGCGGGTTTAACTTCTTTAGGTTAGATTCGTACCATCATCCCCGAACATCTAGTTATGGTTCTTGACCACTATGGAGTTAGCAATATCCGTGATTGTAAATGGGGTGTAACCTTCACAATCGTGAATGGTTTACAAGTTCCTAAACATGTTGACGACTCTTTTTCTGTAGATTATTTTTCTTTGAGCGCCGCCATACTTAAAAACATGACCCACATGTAGGGATGACGGAGGTGAAAAATTCCCTACAATAAGAAAATAAAATTTATACTAATTTAGAGAAAATATTTGTATATAAATATTTTAAAAATACTTATGTCACAAAAATATGGGGTATTATCCCCTACTCACAAAAAGTTTCATCCCTAGAACTTGCAAAGAAGCATAACTAACTTAACATTCAAAGTAAAAGTAGAAAAAATGAAAATAGCAAGAAACTAACTTAGTACCTGCTTTGAACAACTCAGGGTATTTGAGTCACATTGACTCTTCGGTTTTCCATGTGGCTTCCTCGTACTTTTGACTTCTCCATAAGACTTTCACTAAATGAACCACTTTCCTCCTAAGAATTCGATCCTAAAAGTCGAAAATTTGAACTGGTCACTCGTTAAAAGTCAAGTTGGGTTCAACTTCAATTGTCTTAAACGGGATGACATGAGATGGATCACTATGATACCTCCGTAACCGTGACACATGAAATATGTCATGGACCGTTGACAACTCATGCGGTAATGCCAACCGACAAGCAACTTCCTCAACCCTTTCAAGGATCTCATAGGGACCCATACTTTGGACTAGACTTTCCTTTCTTACCGAAGCACATTACCCCTTTCATCGGAGATAAATTCAATAAGACCTTATCCCCGACCTCATAGGCAATAGGTTTTCGCTAGAGATCAACATAATATTTCTGCCTATCTTGTGTAACTTTTAACCTAGCACGGGTCACCTTTACCTTATCAACAGTATCCTGAATCAATTCTTGTCCTGAAACCAAAGAGTTGCTTATGTCGGTCTAGCAAGTAGGAGTGCGAAACTTCCTCCCATAAAGAACCTCATAAGCAGCCATCTGGATACTAGCCTGATAACTGTTGTGGTAGGAGAATTCTATAATACATAGAGATTTTATATCATCTGCTTAGATGAATTCTATAGGTCTAACATTACTAGCAATAAAATGTTGTGTTTGTACTTTTGTGAAACTCGAAGTTTCCAACCTAAGTCTAAACTGCATCCTCTATGCAACAACATTAATTTATAGGGTAAGTTACACCTATAACTCAACATGTTATTGCTAAACCATATCTTACAAGGACAATCACTAACTACGTCAAGTAAGAATTTGGGAAATTTTCAAAGCATAATTAATATTTATCAATCAATTAATTATATTAAATTAAAATTGTGAGAATTAAATGTTAGAAATTATATGGGATCTAACAAATATTAATTGCCATTTTGATGTGGTGCTCCTGCAGTGTTCTGTGTCCATCTCTCTCTCTCTCCTGGTCTTGAGCATTTAACAGTAGATATTTTTTTTTTTATTATTTATCAATCAATTAATTATATTAAAATTATGATATGAATATTATACATGCTCTCGTAATAAGATACTAGCCTGATAACTGTTGTTGTAGGAGAATTCTATAATACATAGAGATTTCACCCATGACTGCTGAAATTCTAAGGTACAAGCACGGAGCATATCCTCTAGAGTTTGGTTAGTCCTCTCAGTCTGACCATTAGTAGAAGTATGAAAAGTAGTACTCAACTTTAGCTTCGTGCCGAACGCTTTTTGCAAAGCAACCCATAAGTGAGACAAGAATCTCGGGTCTCGATCTAACACGATATCCTTTGGAACACCATGAAGACGTATGATCGCATTAGCATAAACCTCGGCCAACTGCTCCATTAACCAGTTTTTTTTCATAGGAATGAACCTAGCAACCTTGGTTATCGGTCCACTATCACCCAAATAGCATTCAATCCCCTAGGAGTTACAGGGAGACCCATCACAAAATCCATGGAGATAGAATCAAACTTCCATGCCAGAATAGGTAAAGGTTGAAGAAAACCTCCAAGCCTTTGATTTTCAATCTTCACCTTTTGACAGACCAAGAATTGAGCCACAAACTCGGCAATCAACTTCTTCATACTTGGCCACCAGAAATTAAAATTTAAGTCCTTATATATATTATCACCCCCAAGATGAACTAAATAAGGAGTGTTTTCAGCTTCCTCGAGAATCTTCCCTTTCAACTCAACATCATTAGGGATACACTAACGACCCATGAGCTTCAGACTACCATCATCACACATCTCAAAATTTTCAGCTCGACCTTGTTCTTTGGCTTCACGAATTTTCTTGAGTCTCGAATCCCTCGTTTGCTTATCTCGCAGCTCTTGGTACAACTCAGGTTCAACACTCATCGCATTCAAATAGGAATTAACATATCCTTGAGGCACCATTTCAATGTTGAGCTTACAAAACTCTTCGCACAGGCCTTTAGGCAAAACCCTAACTACATTAAAAGACTGATTGCCCTTACAACTCAATGCATTTTCTACCTTGTTTGCTTTGCCCTCACGATAATCCAAAGACAAATAATAGTCCTTGATTACTTCCAACCACATCTTTGCCTTATATTCAGGTCCTTTTGAGTGAAAATGTATTTCAGGCTTTTGTGATTTGTGTACATCTTGCATGGAACATCGTAAAGATATTGTCGCCATATTTTGAGCGTGAACACCACAGCAGCAAATTCAAGATCATGAGTGGGGTAGTTCCTTTCTTGAACCTTTAACTTCCTCGAAGAATAGGCAATGACCTTTCCCTGCTGCATCAAAACACAACCAAGACTATTCTTTGAGGTATCACTATACACTTCAAATTCCACCCCTTCACTAGGCAAGGTAAGAACTGGTGCAGAAGTCAAACTCCTCTTCAATGATTGAAATGCCTCTTCACATTCATCGGACCATCTAAACTTGCAGTCCTTGCACATCAACTTGGTTAGAGGTTGTGCTATCTTGGAGAAGTCCTTCACAAAATGGCGGTAATATCCAGCAAGACCAAGGAAACTCCGAACCTCGGACGCATTCTTAGGGCTTTCCCATTTTATCACAACTTTAACCTTTGTAGGATCCACTTTCACACCCTCCTTGCTAATGACATGCTCTAGAAAAGCAACTTCCTTCAACCCCTCTCATGTTCTTCTTCATCCTTAGAATATATGAGGATATCATCGATGAAAACCATGACAACACAGGTATCCAAGTACTCATGGAAAGTACGGTTCATTTGGTCCATGAAAACAACAAGTGCATTAGTGAGACCAAAAGGAATCACTTCAAACTCATAATGCCCATATCTGGTGCAAAATGAAGTTTTCGGGATATCTTCCTTCTTCACAAGGATTTGATGATACCCTGATCGCAAATTGATCATGGAAAACACACTTGCGCCCTTCAACTAATCAAACAGGTCTTCAACCCGTGGTAAGGGATACTTGTTCTTGATTACCTTATTTAGTTCTCGATAATTAATACATAAGCGCATGCTCCTGTCTTTCTTCTTCACAAACAACACCGGAGCACCCCACGAAGATACACTGGGTGTTATGAAATCCTTATCAGTCAAATCCTACAATTGTGTCTTCAACTCTAGCTTGCAATTCAAGAGGAGCCATCCTGTATGGAGCCTTAGACATCGGAGTAATACCAGGAACCAGATCGATACTGAACCCCGCATCCCTTTCAAGCAGAATGCTAGGTAACTCCTCAAGGAAAACATCAAAGTGTTCCCGAACAACAGGAATTCTCTTGAGTTAATCTTCGAGAGATAAGTCTTTAACTCTAAAGAGAAACACCATATCACCTTTATGTCGAAGCCTCTTTATTCTCATTGCAGACATGATCTTCACATTTTTCTTCAACATAATACCAGAGTAGAAGATACGACAAAACACTATTCTAATCACAGCAGTGAATGGCTGCATGGTACTTCGATAACCAGTCCATACTAAGGATCACTTTAAACTCAATCATAGGAAATTCCTTAAGACCAGCACATAATTTAGACCCATAGATAACCACAAGGACTTCCTTAGACTCACGATGGCAGGAAAAATCCTCTCTCAAAGGAAGAGTTATAATAAATTTACAGGAGAACTAGAAGACAAGTTAGATTTAAAAATGAATGTGCTAGCAATAAAAGACACAACAATACTAGAATCAAACAGAACATAAGCAGGAACATTATTAATAAGAAATGTACTCGTCACCACATCAGGCTGAACATCGACCTGTTCTTGGGTCATGCAATAGATCCTGTTCCTTGGAGGAGCTGATGAGGGAGTAGGCATTGAGCCACTAGAACTAGAAGAATTCGCCTTATTAGGACACTGAGAAGACTTGTGTACATCTTCCTTGCAAAGGTAACAGGTTATGTTAGTGCCATCACATTTCTTCCCCGGATAATGGTCTTTGCCACACTTGTAGCACTTCTTTGAGACAAAACTTTGAAGAGTACCAGAACTTTGCTGATTGCTACTCCTTCCAGCATTATCAAACCTCGACTTCTTGGTTTGAACTTGAGAATAAGGCACTGAAGGTCTCCTTGCAGATGCAGCCTTCGTAGCTTCTTCCTCAATTATGGATGCATGGATACTACGAGCAATCTCATAAGCCCCTTGGAAAGAAGCAACGCCCGAACTCAGCACATGGGTTCTTACTCTAGGATCCATCTTCTTGATGTACCTTTTTACCGTTTTAGCTTCAGTAGCAACGATAGAGGTAGCAAAATGGGACAATTCAGTAAACTTGTCCGTGTACTCCTGGATGGATAGGGAACCCTGAGATAGAGAGAGAAACTCTTCCTGATTTTCCCAACGCATTTCATCAAGGTAAAATCTCTCTTTCAGTTTAACTACAAACTGGGCCTAGCCGAATCCCGATATAGCCACACATTCATCCCTGAATGTAACCCACTAGCTGTTAGCTTCGAGCTTCATATAATAAGTACCATTAGCTACCCTTTCCTTAGGTAGGCAGCCGCTGGCATTGAACAACTTTTCCAATTTCTCTTAACCAACCTTCAAGTACCACTAGATCAACAGTGCCATCATAGGTGGGTGGACGATGACGATCGAATCTATCAAAAGTGGACTGGTGTAGGGAATTTTTCAACTCATCTTTGAGCCCTACTGTGATTCATGCTTTTAGGCATGGTGGAGTTCCAAGGAAAAGAAGCTAGATATAAAAGAGTCGCCACCAAGTTTTAGGAACGTGTAAACCGTTCACTGGTGTGAAGGTTACACCCCAATCACGATCACGGAGATCGCTAACTCAATAGTGGTCCAGAACCATGACTGGTTGTTCGGGGATGATGGCACGAATCCAACCTAAAAGAGATTGAACCCGCCCTAAATAGGCCTTCACCATATTCTTATGATATTCATGTGCGCTTTCCGATCAACATAAATACATCAAATTAATCCTAATCCTGTTTAATTTACAATGGTTGAGTATTAATTCACAATCAAATCTATTATTGGTGACCACTTAAATTAAAATCATATTAGCCTAAAATCAAATTATTAATTATCTTATTAGGCGTGATTTCAAGTACAAATTCTCTTTAAACCTGTAAAAACGGGCGTGATCATGCAATAACAATAAATCATGAATTATCAAGCATCATATGATTAATATCATAACAATCATCATCATAATAACATCATTAATAGTAAGATCCTAGACATGATACTAAATGGATTAATAACAAACCCTAGCATGTAATTAATAACGAAGTCAAAGCATTATCCTAAACATGATAATAGAAATCATAAAGACAACCTAACATGATACTAGGAATGAAAATAATAATGTGAACATGATTTTTTTTTCCAAAATAAAAGCATAATGATAAGGGTAAATGAAATTCTCACTTACATGCCTCAACCTTCTTGCTATTAAAACAATACACACGTTAGTAAACTTCAAGAAAGTTAAATCAATAAAGTAAATAAATCAAATATGAATTCAAATATAGATTTGGGACCAAACTCTCAGAACTAACAACCTTTCATGTCGAGGTCGAAGGCAATGTTGAGGATGGCGAGGAGTATTCGAATCTCGTGAATGAGGAATTGTGACTGATTGGGGAGAATATCAAGGATGTGTTTAGGCTAAGGCTAAGAACACGGGGATCAAGAAAGAGGAGGGATGATTAAGATGATTGGGATGATTGTTGATGGTTGTTGATGATTTGAAACGAGGTAAAACGTTTTGGGTTTTGCGGTGTCCGACACCACACGGAAACAAAACCCGATAACCGGATCACATGCATAATAATTACAACATAAAAAAAAGCATGCAAATAACAAAAGCCCACGCACGTGGCAGCAGCAGCAGCACAGGCCCAGCAGCAGCATCGCAAGCTCTGACTGCTTGCTGGCCTTACTGGGCAAGCCTGCTAGGCTGCCATAGTGCGCAGGCCTACTAGGCTGCCCTAGCTAGCCCACACGCAACGGCTAGCCTAGCTAGGCCTTGTGATGGCTGCGGTAGCTTGGTGCTTTGGTGCTTGCGGCCTTTAGCCACTTGCCTTTTCTTTGAGGCGCGGCTAGGGCTCGTGCTATCCTTGTAATTTAGCACGATATGTCATTTGATTATTTTTCTCGCCTTCGTCGATTCCTAAAATCAACTCAACGCTTGACGCTCGGTTTTGACGCTCTAAGCTCGGAATCTGACGTCTTAGTTCGTAAAATCTCAATCGACATGTGTAATCTTTTGCATTAATTTGTCACTTAGGTTCGGTTACATGATTGAGTGTGACCCGAAGGGTTAAGTTAAGATTAACCTATAATATTAATTGTTCATTAATATTACTGATCGGAAGCATCCTCTAGCTAGGCATTCCGATCACTTGACCTCGCTGAATAATTAGCTTTTTAATTAATTCTAAACCCTCTATCGGAAAAATACACTTGTTTGAAGGACACCATTCCTTTCAATCTCCCACTTTTCCTTCCGCACAAGTGTGGTGTTTGTGTATAGCATGTATCCTATGTCACTTAATGCTTCTTCGTTAACTATAAGATAAGATTCTTCGTCATCCTTATTACGTATAGAAATGATTCTTGATTTTCGAGTTTGACTGTCAATAAGCAGATGATTTCTAAAATCCATCTGAGCACGACCATGCATTTTCACAGTCTCGCTCTTCGAGAGGCTTTGTAAACAACAAAGACATGTTCCCTACTTATAATAGGGGGACATTCCCAGTCTTGCATTGTTAACGTCCCTTACTTAGAGTCCCTAGCAGCCAGAGTATTGGCTTTATAATCCCCTTGTATGGCAGACGTTTTACAACATCAAAACAGACTAGTACTCAAACAAGAGAACTTACAATACTCATGGCTGAGGAAAGAGGTCCCGATAGCCATAATGAGTAATATAGTTAAGAGGATTGGTAAATCTCTTAAAGTATTCTCATAGGTCGATGTAGTATAGTTCCAAACCAATACCTGTGCAAATGATTTATGACATTCTTGTCCTTGTAGCACAAGAAACAGTGCTATAAATCATACTACACACTAATCTCATGCGGTTATTAGTCGTCCAACTTTCAAATGACCTCGATTAGGGATAAATTTTGATATAACATTCAATGTTCACTTAATAGGTGTTTCTTTATCCAAGACTTGTCTTGATACCCTATTTTTAATGTCGTCAAATCGAATGGACTCATTATTTAATTCTAAACCATAATTAAATAGTTTGTGGAATAATTAGTAAACTTTTATTCCACTATGAAACTTTCAAACGTTTCATCTTATGATAAATGGTTTTTCCAATTGTTGTAAGAGTAATACTCTTAAAAAAAAAATTTATAGAAATCACACCCATATATAATATGCTTGATTTCTTTCATGCAATTGTGAATGTTGTGGTTCACTTATTGCATAGGTTTAGCTACAATTACTTTGCGAATCTTAGCATCTTCATTATTGTACACTTTCATAATAAGATGATAAATTTTGGGTGTGTTATGGATTATATGTGATTTAGGATTTATTGTCCGTGATGGCTCCCACTCATTTTTCATGATTTGAGATCTTCAACTTGACAACCTACAATCATCAAAGTTCAACAACGAACTATCCATTTAACAACTTCCTTATTATTGCCTCTAAGGCAGTAATGTTCTCAACATATACTTTAGTAGTTTTCCTAATGATGCTTTGTTTGGATTTTACCCCAACTGGCTCACAATGATTTGGATACCTTAATCATTTGTGATTATGGAAATTTACCTTAAATTTCAGCACAATATACATAAACATAAGTTCATGTTGCCATTCTTAAGCTACGACGCGTCTTAACCTAGTGCTTATAAATGGCTTCCTCATCAAGGATCTAATCCTTATTGAGGTTTTGCTTGCAACATCAATACTCAAATTATATTTGTTTCCATTCATCAATAACTCATCCTCTTACTTAACCAAGTACTTTGGACGTTCTTGATCGTAATCTAAAGATTCATTGCTTAGATTCAAGTCGATTGGTATTTATAATTGTCATGCTCTAAGCATGAAGGTCATGTGACAATTCCATATCATAGCATACATGATGGTTCTAATTGTAAAATTATTCCAATTTAATCCCATTCATGTGACTTTTGGCTCATACCGTTTCACTAAGTCTTGCTAAACTGTTTGCTATATGATATGATTGAAAGTCTCTATTAGAGTCTTTCTTGTTTGACTTAGTATTTTCCTAGCTTGTACTTAGTTCAAAACATTTTCTTAGTTTTATACATATGGGTCGAAAGCCTTTTCAAGTCCTTCATGTTTAACACGGTAAATTCCTTTACTCGTTCAAACATTTTCCCACTAAGTACTAAGTATCGCATATAGCTTGGTCCATCATTGAAAAATTCTTTCAAATCTAAGCATTTAGCATTCGATAGTTACTTCTTATTGGACCTTACAAAATTGAATTTTGCTCCCACTAAAGAATTTCCATGTTTCTCAACAAGCCAAACCTTATATTAACTTTATAAGAAAACCCATTCCAATTCCTACATGCTTCCCTCAATCGACCAATGGATTTCTTGAGCTTTCTTTCAAATCTAGCATTATTTAGATTTACAAAACCCTTAGACTATATCCATAGTCTCTTCCAAAATCCCATTTTTAGGAAGGAGGTTTCGATATCTATTTTGCTATATTTCATATGGGCAATTTTGGTAGAATAATCGCGAAAAGACTTAAGCATTCCGATTAGTGAATAGGTTTTATTAAATCAGCGCTGTGAATTTAATTGTAACCTTTTCAACCAATCAAGCTATGTATACATATACATTTTCATATTTGTTAGTTTTCTCCTTGAAAACTTATTTGCAATTGATGAGTCTTTACCCTTCATGCAAATTAATCAAGTTTCAAACACGATTTTCAAACATGGTGTCTGTTTCGGATTTTTGTGGCCTCTAACCATTATTCGGAATTTGGATTTTTCATAGCTAATTTATAAGACACTATTCCTTTACTATCCAATAGTAATATGCTTGTAAGTCTTAGGTTCATTTCTAATTTAATAAAAATTTATAGGATTCAATCCAAGCCTTTGGTGAATTCTATACCTATACGGGGTAATTGCTCTTAAAGACGCTTTTAAAGCCCTTTGATTATATTGATCTTAATCCCACACTTCTAAAGTTTTTGTGAGTATTGAATTCTCTTATAAGGCACTTGTAAAGTCCTTTGAGTATTCTTGATCAATCATTCTCATGTAGCCCTTCTAAAGTCTTCCGAGATTCTCATTTCTAGTTTATTGCTAATCTCGATGGTCATCGAGTTCATTTTCCTCCCACTTGTCATTTTGAAAATGT